TTTGCAGGTGTTTCAACGAAATTCATTATAAAAAAAAGAATTTCTCTTTTTTTTTTTTTTAGAAAGACCGGGAGGAGGCTTTTTATAAAAGTCATAGCTGACATAATTCAACAGGGTTAAAATTATTGCCAGGGATAATAATATGATAACCAGTTTCTATGATATCTTTTCTTCAGCACGTGACTATCAATTGTTCATAGTTTGTATATCCTGTTGAGTAGTATATCATAGATATAATAGGGACCCAGATTTTGGGGTTCTAATTTGGTACTGTGTGATGTGGCTAGTTTACTTCTATATAAAAGAACTTGATCACTGATCCTATATAATTCCAACCTATTCCTTTTTTCGTAATAGGTTTTTTGTCGATCTTAGGCTTTCTTATTTTATCCAAAGCCTGTTGCTGTGATTCTGTTAATTTCTATATATCGCTTCAATATGCTGATATATTTGGGATTCTAATTCTTTTTCCGTATTAGGCCTAGTTGGAAATGTCACAAGATTCGTTTCAATCAGGAGAATGACATTACGCCTATATAACAAGAAAAAGGGCTCATATTCTGTTGTGGAGTGACGAGTAGTTCTGTAAGCAAATAAAGCAGGTGTTATATATTCATCCCATGATTGGTAAAATTGATTGATGCATTTATTTAACACCCACAAAGGGTACAGTTAAACTGTTTTATCAACCTATTGGGTTGTAGATGATATGCTGTAGACTTATGATAGCCGATGTGCATTTTCTCACAGAAGGTGGCAACTACTTGATTACAGAAATGAGATCCTCGATCAGACAATAACTCCTTTGGACAACTATGTCTACAAATAAAGTCTTCAAAAATAAAATTGTCAACAGTTTCAGCATCAGCTTTTTTGATAATGCAAGCTTTCGGCTACTTTGTAAGGTATTCAGTGGCTACTATGATATATCAGCGGTTGTTAGAAGTTATAGGAAGCGGTTCTACTATGTCAATTCCTACATGATCAAAGAGTTGACCAATTTTGATAGAGTATAAAAGTTCCTGGGTCTGTAGATGTTTCTTTTTCTGGTACTATTCACAAGTTTGAGTATATTTCCAGATATCATTTCCCATCTGGGACCAGTAATATCGAGCGGTGATTCATTGATAAGTAGCTTCAATTCCAAAATGTCTGGCAAGTAGGTTATCTTGTATACTAAATAAGACAGCTTGGATCTCTTCCATTTTTAAAATTTGACAAGAGCGAGAAAGGTCACAGGAATTGGTCTTATAAAGTAGATTGCTAATTACTATATAATATCAGGTCTTGTGCTTTAGGTTCTGAATTTGCTTCCTAATATATTGAGAAAGATCAGAGCTGCCTTGGAAAAACCTAAGATAAGTATTATAAAGGTCTGGATCTATTGTTTTTAGTTTATATAATATTGGAAATTTTATTTTTTTATTTATTTTTTTTTTTTTTCTAACTAATTTATGTATTTA